TAGCATTAGTTTTCAGATAAAAAGGCTAGTTGGCCCTCCCTTATAATCACCGTGCATTAAAATATGCCTCTATAACTTGTGCTACATTACAAAAGGGAAAATACTACCGAATGCATTTATCTATTGCTCTAGTTTGTCAGCGTCCTCAGTGTCTTCCAACTGCGCATAAATAATTTGTGCACACTCACTTCCTCCCCAGCCGCCACCCCATTTCTCTGTGGCTCTTTCGTTCCGGAGGAGAATCATCTTCCCACATGGGCTTCCCCTCCTCCTGGCCTCTTTGGAGCCCATGCCCATGAGGCTTTCTCTCCCTGTCTACTGAACTGTGCTATTGGCAAGGACCCTCGTGTCGCTTCCAGGGGACACTCGTCAGTCCTCAAGTTCTTCAGCCTATCAGCAATGTCTAACACCACGGGTCTCCCTCCTTGAAATGCTTCCTTCACTTGGTTTCCAGAATTTCCCACTTCTTACCTTACCAGCTTCCTCATCCCAGTGGCACCTTCCCCTGTCGGTGACAGCCCTCCAGGCTCAGCTCGCCCCCTGTTTTCTTCCCCATATGCTTCTGCCTCAGATTCATCAACTTTCTCCTTTCTCAAGCCATGGATGGTGTTGGATTCAGAAAGAGGAGCCGGCAGTGGATTAGTCCATCAGCTTGTGGGCTATATTATTTCCATAATGAAGATTAACAGTAAAGCTGTTTTCACAGTGGAAACAAATGAGTTCAATACAAAGTAAGAAGACATTTAAATGTCTTTGAAAGGAAATATGTTTACTCAACAAACATTTGGAAGGAGATTTAAATGCACTAAATAATGAAAGAAATAAAATTCAAAATAATATCTGCATATACCTTTAGTAGAACAAAATATCAAAGATTTAAAAAATAGTGATCTGCCCAGTGCTGGTAATATGCAATGAAATGACACATTTTCATTTACCACTGATAGGCATCTAATTTGATTTAGCCCTTGTAGAAAGTATCAAACTCACTACCAGAGTCTTAAAATGTCTATTCCCTTGATTCCGTAATTCTGTTTCTGGAATTTGTTTTTTATGATTTTCTATTTTTTTTAAGTAACCTCTACACCCAAGGTAGGGCTTGAACTCACAACCCTGAGATCAAGAGTCACAGCCTCCACTGACCGAGCCAGCCAGATGCTCCTGTTCTAGAAATCTAACTAAGGAAAGCTTTAGTGTGGAAAAGAACTTTGGGCACAAAAATACGCATTGAAGTAGTTAATTTTAATAATAATAATATCAACAGTGGGAGCACATGGAAGCAGCCTATTTATCTGACTGCAGGGAAATTGTTAAATAGACTACAGTATGTCAACCCCGTGGAATATTTTAAATCTATTAAGATGATCTATTTTAAAGAGTCTATGAAAACATGAAAAAATTCCATGACGTAATGTTAAGTGAAACAGGGAAGATAAGACTGTTTACATAGTATTAAAAAATTCACACATAGTAAAAAATTAGAAGAAATTCACTGCAATGTTAGTAGTGCTTATGTTTGGGAATTTTATTTACCTTTTTGTTTTTAATTAGCTCCTATGTCTGGGGGAAGTATAAATAAATAAATAATAAAACTACAAAAACCTGTTTGGTTTTGGTCAATTCAAGATTTGGCGAAGAAATGATAATGAAATGATCAAAGTCACTAGTATACATATTTCATAAAAGAGAAATTTTTCCAGTATAAGAGAATTTATTAGAAAGGAAGAAATAACCGGAGTAAGGAACTGTGCCTTGTAAATGAATGCAATGAATGCTTGAGTGCAAGATCCAGGACCTGGACTGTGGGTTCAAATCCAACTCCACCTTTCCCAGGTGTGTGACCTTGGACAGGTTACTTGACTCCTCTGTGCTCCAATTTCTTGGAAATTGGAATTCTTGCATCTACAGAATGCAAATAACAAGAGCACCTTCCTCACAGGACTGTCAGGAGGATTGTGTGTTCACGGAGGCCCTGGCTCTCGAACATGCTCACATGCTCTCTTCATCTCTCTGTCTCTGTCACCGTCTCTGTCTCTCTGTGTCTCTTACATATATATATGGAAGTGTTGTCTACCATTATTGTCTTCTCATCATCTCCATCAAAGCTCAGGAGTCAAATACCACTGGTGTTCAAAACCCCTCTCCGCGACTTACTTGCTGTGGGACCCAGAGAAAGTACATTTAGCCTCTCTTGCCTGAGTGTATTTGTAAAGTGGGGAGAGTACCTGCCTGTTAGGGTTGCTGTGAGAACCAGTGAGATCAGGTTGGTCATGTGCTCAGCACAGGGCTTGGCACACAGTGATGCTCACAGCAGAGGTAGTGAGTGGGGAGGTATTGAGGGCTGCTACCATGGTGGTGGATTCTGTTTTTCTTTAGGTCTCTTCTGAACCAGAAGGAAGTTTAGGGGCATATGGAGAGTGAGCTAACAAGGAGGGTTTTGCTGTCCACTTTTGATGGAGTAAGGAAGTTGAGGATCAGTGATCATCATAATAGTTTATAGGTTTATATTGCTTTATAGTTTTGAAGCTCTTTACATATATGTTGACTCCTTGATACAACAATTCTGTGATGTAGTAGACAGAAGACCTGTCCTCATCACTGCTGTTTACCAGTGTCATAGTCCCTGTATTTATAGTGGATTTCAGCAACTAATTCTATAGATATTACACTTCACTCTTGATCTAGCTGTTCTTGAGTACTTAGTGTTTTAGGTAGATGCTATGTCCAGTACTTTGGACTTAAAGTTCTTTTTTTTTTTTTTTTAAGATTTTATTTATTTATTTGAGAGAGAGAGAGAATGAGAGAGAGCACATGAGAGGGGGGAGGGTCAGAGGGAGAAGCAGACCCCCTGCCGAGCAGGGAGCCCGATGCAGGACTCGATCCAGGGACTCCAGAATCATGACCTGAGCCAAAGGCAGTTGCTTAACCAACTGAGCCACCCAGGCGCCCTGGACTTAAAGTTCTTTGTCCTTTTCTTTACTCCCTATGAGCAACCCATTCAAGTGGCCATATCATGGATTCTGTATCCCCAAGAATTATTCCACCTCTAAATTGTGTTATTTTTAAGCAGAGTTTGAACTCACGACCCTGAGATCAAGACCTGAGCTGAGATCAAGAGTCGGATGCTCAACAGACTGAGCTACCCAGGCACCCTAAGTGCTACTTCTCTTTCTTATTTTCCCAGGATATTTACATTAAATTTTTTGGTTACATGAATATTCTCTATTAACAGTCTATGCCTATATATATAATATTCAAAATGAGCATTACAGGCTACTATGATTGGGGTTTTTTTTGCTTTTTGTTTTTTATGATGTTAATAATTGTCTTGGTTTTCATGTTTTTCTCTCTCTTTGTAAGCCACTTGTCTGAAATCAATGTCTCCTGCCTTTCTTCTGGCTTTAGCTCTGGATAGTCACTAACCCTTTGTAATTGCTAAATCCAGTGGAGTCTTCCAGCCCTAAACTTTTATAGCTGTGCTCTTCTTGTTACTTCCTCCTCCCTTGGTTTCCATGACATCACTTAATCCCATCTTTCTGAGCACTCCTTTTTAGTCTTGCTTGTGCATAGTCCCCTGTTTACCTTCCCTTAAGTGTAGTGTTCCTTAGGATTCTATCTGTAATCTGATTCTTACTCAACAGAATCTCTTTAGGCAATATCTGCCATGGCCATGAATGACTTCTGTTATTTATTCCTCCTTATAGAACTTTCTTCTAAGCTCATTTAACTGGCCATTGAACATACAGATAGAGAGTATGAAGACATTTGTCAGTGCTTCCACTCCTGTTCAAGGTCCCACTCTCTTCTTGTGACATCTGCATATGAATTGTGTAGAGGCTTTGGTATCTGCCTGTCTAAAGTTACCTTCGCCCTACCTGCTCCTGTTCACATAGACAAGCCACCTCCTTACCCTTTTACTGTTCCGTTCCCTTCACACACCACCAAATACATACACACATACACTCTCTTCTCCAACTTTTCCCCTCTCAAACACCTGCACTGCCTCTCTCCATTTTCATTGGCAAGAAAGCTGAAAGTTTTCTCTCCCCCAACTCCTCCTATAGGAGGAGGATGTTGGACCAATTGTCAGATCCCAGAGAAAGCAAAGTATTTTACTAATTTAGTATGCTTTATTTGTACTTGATAGTAACTATTTTAGTAGGCCATCCCTTTTAAAATGTGTTAATCCTTGAAATGTTTAAAGAATGATCACTTGACAGTAGTGCATATCCATGCAGTCCCTTCTGCATTGTTACTTTTAGATTTAAAACCACGAGTGGTGGGCGCCTGGGTGGCTCAGATGGTTGGGCGTCTGCCTTCGGCTCGGGTCATGATCTCAGGGTCCTGAGATCGAGCCCCGCATCGGGCTCCCTGCTCCATGGGAAGCCTGCTTCTCCCTCTCCCACTCCCCCTGCTTGTGTTCCCTCTCTCACTGTGTCTCTCTCTGTCAAATAAATAAAATCTTTAAAAAACAAAAAAACAAAACAAAACAAAAAATAAAACCACGAGTGGGATTGTAATAAGAATTTTATTTTTTCAGAATTAAAACTACACATGTGGGGTTGTAATGTGAATTTATAGGCAGAGATAAGGTATCTTGTCCAAACAAGAAAGAAAAACACAACTAAATGTTCTCTTTTCCACTTTTTTTGCTGTATGTAGTTAGGACCATGAGTCTGAGCTTACATTCCTAAAAGCTACAGGTGTCAATCAGATCATTCAGGGAGAGCACTCAGAATGAGAAGAGAGAAGCATCAAGCCTGTAAAAGAAGAACCCTCCCAGGAGCCTTAAAAGGGAGCCTATGCGAATCAGCATGTGATTCTAGAGAGTGGTTCAGCATGGCTTGATGTTTATTTTTAAGAAGTGTAAAGATGATATTCCAGCAGGTCTCAAGGTTTTTCACCATCACAGTCATTGATGATGGTGATGGTAGCCCTTTGTTTTTTGTTATTATTTGGTTTTTTTCTAGCTTACCAGTTTGTTCTGTGCATTTTTTAAGGTCCTTAAAATTCTGGTCAGGGCAGTGGTTGACGGGATGACCGATCGAAGTGGAGATGTTGCAACTGGCCTCAAAGGGAAGCTGCAGGAGTTACTTGGCAGAGTGACTTCAAGAGTGACGAATGATGGAGAAATCTGGAGGCTGTATGCCGAAGTGTATGGAAATGGGCAGAGCGAAAAGCCTGATGAAAATGAAAAGGTAAGTCCCCTTTCAGTCCTCCCGGGTGCTTGCCTTTTGTTTGAATTATGTGTATTGGATCTGCTTCCTTGATGGTTGGAGGAAGAGTTAAATAGCTTGAAATGGAAGATTGATATGCTCAGGTTTTCCGTTTTGATTCAGAATCTTTAACATAAGCACTTTGAATTGCGGGCAGGTTAAGACTTGTAAGCATTCACTTTTTTTTTTCTTTCTATGAATTTTTCTTACATAATTTTCTCTGTTTCCTGCAAAAGGTCTCTCCAGCCTGCTCCCCCACTGGAGCTGCCGCGAGCAGCTGCTCCCATTATTTACCCCCAGCCCTTTCTGCAGGCTCCTTGCTGAAGACTCAGGGAGATGGGGCCCAGGGACAAAGATGGTTTAGATCTGAGATAGGGGCCATGGAAGGGAAAAAGAAAAAGGCACTAGATAAGAACATTGGAGGAGAGCTTGTAAGTCTAAACACAAAATGCTTTATAGAGGTTGCCCTGCACCTTTCTTGGAAGTGCATTAGAACAGCAGTTACACTCAAGTTATGCCTTTGGCCTCTTATCTTAGAACTCAAAGGAGCCCCCAGAGTTTCCAAGGTTGAAATAATTGTTTTCTGTTCTTTTCAAAACATCCACAACAAGTCACATGTACTCCTTGCGTGAGTTTGGAATTCGCTGCAGTACAGCTAATCTGTGGGATTCCTAGCCATCTCTCCTCCCTCAGTCCACCCAGCTGGCTTCTACCATTGCTTGTCAACCCAGAGAACACATAATCACACGCACGCATGCACACACTCCTACTTTCTCTCCTTCCATTTCTTCTTGAATTATGTGCTCTTGCATATGGAATCAAGGGTAGTCTGAATTCTCTGATCGGTGACTTCTCCCTCAAGAATCTGCAAGGATGGGGCTGGGAAAGAGTGTTTTAAACTTCTGTGAGTATACACACCTCTCGGTAATTCTGTAGGTGTCGTCAAGTTCATGCCTCATTCTCTAAACCGGGCTCTTAAGCTGATGGCTACAGATGCTGAGGAAAGGTGTGTGCCCTTCTTCTAGATTTCCAAACCTGGCATTTCTGTTTTTCTGTTTGGAGGGAAGTGTCTCTATCCAAATACATCCATTTGATTGCTTTTAATTGCTTATTGCTGTTGGCTGTGCGTCTGTACCCTTTCTTTGATGAGAATAATAAAGACCGCGCTGCATGACACAGATGCTCGTTTTTCAAGTTGGAATTAGTTCCACATGACTTCCAGGAAACCGAGTTTGAAATGTGCATTCTACTTGTTATTCTGAATATTGTTCTTTTTCTGTCCTCAGGCGTTCCAGTATCTCTCTAAGGCATACAAGTGTGACACACAGTCCAGTTGTTGGGAGAAAGATATGACATCATTTAAGCAAGTGGTGCAGAGAGCCTTAGGACTCGCACATGGTATTTGATGTAATGTTTGCTATCCCTGCCATATTTTAATGTATTTGTACTGAAAAAGAATTTGTCAAAAGTGAAGTTCCATTACAAATAGCTTCAGATTATTTCCTTCTATGGAATTGTCATATTTCATGCAGCAAATCTTTATAAGACCAGCTGCTAGGTAGTAAGCACTTCGGAGCAACAGGAGCAAATAGAGGCCGGAGCGTAGGAAGGATAGAGGCTTAAATACCATTGGAATAAGTGATGGGTATCAGGAGCTTTCAAGACGTGAAGTACCTTTCCAACTGTATCTGATCTTCAAGCACACAAGGTCTGTTGGTGTTGCTTGTGTAGTATTAAGGAAATCTGTTAACATTTCCTGACTTGTAGTCTTCCTTTATAAATGGAAATATTTTTTCTCAAAAACACATAGATTACTGGAGGACGTAGAATGTACAAAAAGCTGTGGCATATGCAAAAGAAATAAAAAATATAATCCTATCCCTGCGTTTGGGAAAATTAGTGGATGATATTTGAGGGGAGAGATAACCTTACATATAAGGTTGCATGCCTGTTGGGTATATTCCAGATAAAGGCCCCTTTTCATTATTTGCATTAATGAAAAAATATACCAGTTAAATTTAATAATGCATTTTTATATTTAGAACTGAGTATGGATGTGTGATGCCCTGGATATGCAGTTCAAATAAAATAATGAAGCCACAGTGTTAAGAACTGAATCACAGAGACTATGAACCTATCCTAAAGTCGTCCTCTAACTTTTTTGGCAACTAATAGTTACAGTAATTGGGGAGCCAATGAGACCGTAAAAAGGGCAGACCCTTGAAATCAGGGAGACCTAAACTCCAGGACCGGCTCTGCCACGTACTTGCTAGGTGGTGTTGGGTAAATCACTTAACTCCTCTGAGCCTTAGTTCCCTCATCAGTAAAATGGGAGTAATGCCTACCTTCTTGTTAGGAAGAATAAATGAAAACACATTTAAACACTTAAGAGTATCTTGCACATGGTTGAAATGTGAATCCCTGACCTTCTCACCCCAACCCTGTTCCTTCTGGGGGTAGAGGAGCTGAGCTGTCTGATAAGGCATTCAAACTAAAAAGAGAAAAAGGAAGAACAAGAGTAAAGGTTAACGTGTCTCTAAAGAAGTCACAGAACATTCAAACAGTTTAGAAATGGGCTTAGTAGTTGATAATTCTACTTACGGTCTTTGATATCACTGACAAGAAGGATATAAATATCCAATTATCTGGGCCGCCTACCCCTTGACAGATCAGGGAGACATGCTGAACTCTGTGTAGCTGAACTACAGAGTAGATGAGGTGGAGGTCATCGCCGATAGACCTGTGGAATGTGGCTGCAGTTCATGTGGATTGTGCTGGCCTCATGGTGGGTGGGCTCAGAGGGAGTGCAGTCCTGATGCCTTTGACCTTTGTGAATATAGTACCATGTTTGAGGAAACCCATACCTAGGTGTATTATGTACATAATTACAGCAAGGTGCAATCTCCTTGGAAGAATTTATCTTACCTACTTGAGATTGCCAACCCTAAACATTTCTGTGAACAGCTAGCTTTGTAACAGTCAAAGCCAAGATATTTTCTGTAGTCACTAAGTGATGCTATTAAACCTGTCAAATATAAATGCACAGGTTAAAGAAATAAGTACTGCAGGAAGAAAATCTTCAGTTTGTATCTTAAAGTCGTTTTTAAGCTATTTTGGGCACCTTTTTTCCTCAGGGCAGTACTGGGAGAAAAACAAGCTTCTATTCTTTTAAGTTTCCTCTGACTTTAATGAATTAGGTGTTGGTGTTCCTACAACACTTTAAGCATCTGTGAGTGGATGCTCAGCTTTAGTTTCTGGTGATATTTTAGATTTATGAAGATAAAACTTTACCTTTTCTTTGTTGCTTTTTTTTTTTTTAAGATTTTATTTATTTGACAGAGAGAGAGATAGCGAGAGCAGGAACACAAGCAGGGGGAGGGGGAGAGGGAGAAGCAGGCTTCCTGCCGAGCAGGGAGCCCGATGTGGGACTCGATCCCAGGACCCTGGGATCATGACCTGAGCTGAAGGCAGACGCTTAACGACTGAGCCACCCAGGCGCCCTCTTTGTTGCTTTTGTAGACCAGTGCTCAGCTGAGGAATGAACTGGGTTTCTTTGTTATTCTCTTCTTTTTTTTTTATCTTTCTCCCCAACACTGTTGTCTATCTTGCTCAATTCTTTTTTTTTTTTTTTAAAGATTTTATTGATTTATTTGACAGAGAGATAGCGAGAGCAGGAACACAAGCAGGGGGAGTGGGAGAGGGAGAAGCAGGCTTCCCGCGGAGCAGGGAGCCCGATGTGGGGCTCGATCCCAGGACCCTGGGATCATGACCTGAGCCGAAGGCAGATGCTTAACGACTGAGCCACCCAGGCGCCCTACCTTGCCCAATTCTGAAAAAGAAAATAAAACATTAAGAAAAAATCACACACACACACACACACATACCACCTCCACATGATTTACTCCCTTTTGGGTTGCTATTTTTAAGAGTAGCCATGTACTTGATAAGACATTGCAGTGTCTCTCCATAGGGCTTCAGACCTTTGTGTAACAATGTTGTCATCGTGTACCCATTTGTATTGTCTGGGGGCTATTCATTTCCAATTTCTGCTATTCTGTTTTCTGGGAAAGGGTAGGCAAAAGCTGGTTCCTTCTTTGCCATCCAGGGACTTTCAAAATAATAGTTATGCATTTTAACTGTAGTCTGCCTGGAGGAAGCACTGCTATCTTGGATTTCCTGATGATTTGGATCAGCATTTTATTTCTCTCCCTTTCTAGAACTCTTATCTTTGTCTCTAGTGCTTTTTGGAAATGGGATTAAGCGAGGGGTGTAATAGTGTTTTTGTCTTTTTGCTCTTTTTTTAAAATTTTTTCCTGAATGAAAATAAGAATTAAAAAAAAAAAAAAAGCTGTTTCTGATACGTTCCTAGGTATTTAACAGCCCAAATACCTCAGCCGTCGTAGTACAACGGTCTTCTCCTAAGGCACACAGACATCATAATCCTCACTATCTCCAGGTTGACTGTGCCCTTTGAAAACGAGTTACACATTGTTGATTACCATGCATTGTTTCCACCCTTAGCTGAGAAATGTCAAAGTCTAATAATTATTTTGAAATGAGAATGTCAAACTTGGTTCTCACCAGCCATGGGAGATTAATTAATGATAAAACGATTTTCCAGGCACAGGCAATCCCCACCAATTGATGAGAGTTTGCATGCAAGAAAGACACCTATTTTCCATTCCTGGTCTAAGATCTAGGGCACTGAGTGACTTTCATCGTTGCACTGTTTAGTGTAGTTTTAAAATAGGATCTGGTTATTGGTCTGCTTTGTGGCAAGCATAATTTAGAAGAACAAAAATAAAAACAAACCAGTGGAGAGATACCAGGCATTGTATTTTTACCAAGCTCCTCACTTGTTCTTATAAAGCATTAATAGCCAGGCCTTCTGCTAGGGAGGATTATCCCCTCTTGATAATTTCACATTTTAGGAAGATGGGCTCCCTGGCTCTCTGGACACAGCGTTGTCACACGTGAGTGACTTTGTTCTCTCCCAGTCCCTGCTGATGCCAAGCACCACTCAGCAACCTGAGAGCCTGGGTGTGGTCACCTTCGCTGAACGCAAGCACATAGGTTGTTGAAATCGCTTCTTCCAGAATGGGGACATAAACCCGGAGTAGGAAAATGCAGTTAGGGGCGCCTGGGTGGCTCAGTTGGTTAAGCGACTGCCTTCGGCTCAGGTCATGATCCTGGAGTCCCGGGATCGAGTCCCGCATCGGGCTCCCTGCTCGGCAGGGAGTCTGCTTCTCCCTCTGACCCTCCCCACTCTCATGGTCTATCTCATTCTCTCTCTCAAATAAATAAATAAAAAATCTTTAAAAAAAAAAAAAAAGGAAAATGCAGTTAGAATTGAGCTGTAAATACCTGGATGTCGCTTCACTGGGCTGGTGTCATGGGCCACTGTGAGCCCCCGTTTGGGACCCGGTGCCCCGGGAAGCTACACTAAAGATCTGCCTCATCTGGTTTTGCCCTCTGTGGGCACCTTGTGTTCAGTTAGATTTTGTCTCTTTTTGCCTGATTTCACTGTGTGTGTGTGTGTGTGTGTGTGTGTTTAGGGTCTCTTCCCAGTGATCTGTAACTTACCAAAAATCACCTATTTCCCCTCAAAATTCTTCATTTAGCAATAAGCGTGAAGAAGGATAATGGGGGAGGGCGCCTGGGTGGCTCAGTTGGTTAAGCGACTGCCTTCGGCTCAGGTCATGGTCCCGGAGTCCTGGGATCGAGTCCCACATCGGGCTCCCGGCTCAGCGGGGAGCCTGCTTCTCCCTCTGACCTTCTCCCCTCTCATGCTGTTTCTCTCTCTCTCTCTCAAATAAATAAATAAATAAAATCTTTGAAAAAAAAAAGAAGGATAATGGGGGAAATTATGCACATAATTGTTGTCCTTTTGCCAAAACAAAGCCTTTCCATGTGGGAATATTTCTCAAGTCTGTACTATAAAATCCTAATTAAGTAATGGTTTTTGGCACTTGTAAATTATCGTTACCAGTATTTAACGCGTGTTTTCTCCCATATTTATGTTTCAGTGGCTATAAAACACAGTAAAAACAAATCCAGCCCCCCAGAGGCTATACAGGTGCTTTCTTCAGTTCGACTCAATTTACAGGGCCTGTTATCTAAAGCAAAGGTGAGAGTGATTTAAAATGTGATTTAACTCAAAGTGTCATAGGAAGAAGGGTCTCTAGCATTAGCTGACTGCTCTTAAATCTTCTTTTTTACGTCAGGGCTGATTTTAGGCCCATGTTACATTTCCGCTATCAGCCCCCAGGGGGTCGGTTGGACTGGTGGGGGTGTTACTGGCCCAATGGCTAGACTCCTGTGGGTAACTTGGGAGTCTTTGAAATTAATGCTTGTAACCCAGCCCTGCTGCTTTCTTGAATTTAAATTAAAACAATGCTCTTCTTATTGTCACTTTTTCCGAAGTGTGACATACATGCCCCTGATAGCGCTTGGCTGAACTTTTGATTTCAGTGTGTATTTATTTCAGCACATGTTAGAAAAACTTTAACTAGCACCTCAGATCTACATTTTCATGAATATTATTGCTTACTTTTCATTTGCAGTAATGTAATGTTTCCTCTAAAAAAAGACTTTTATTTAAGAAGCTGATTTCGAAGCCTGGTGACGGGTATTAAGGAGGGCACGTACTGCACGGAGCACTGGGTGTTATACGAAAACAATGGATCGTGGATCACCACATCAAAAACTAATGATGTATTGTATGGTGACTAACATAACATAATAAAATTAAAAACTACAAAAAAAAAGCTGATTTCGAAACAAATATTAAGTGGGTAGTATATGGATTTCACAAAGATTAAGGTCGGTGAGTGGCTCAGGTTTGACAACTAAAACATTTACCACCAATCTACAAATGCCACCTTGTGAACTAGCGCTGGGTTGGGGACACCTGAGAATCCCTGAGGGAACTGGTTTGGAGTCTGAACTTGGAGCGTCTACCTGTGGCAGGGCAGGTACGGGGTGGAGCCTGGGAGATCCCTGCAGCCAGGTGTGGATTATACCTCTGGAAGCAAACTGTAAAGGAATATAGTTTCTTTCTTTTTTTTTTTTTAATTAATTAATTTATTTGAGAGAGAGAAAGCACGAGTGGGCCGAGGGAGAAGCAGGCACTCCGATGAGCAGGGAGCCCGATGTGGGGCTCGATCCCCAGACCCTGGATCATGACCTGAGCCCAACCGACTGAGCCACCCAGGCACCCCAAGGAATATAGTTTCTAATACAATTCAGTGCTTTCTTTTCTCATTTTTGCTTGCCTTCACTATTTAATCTTGGGTTGTAAATGAATTCTGACACTTCTGAGAGCAAGTGTATGGCAAGTGAAGTCACTTCAGGACACATGTAAAAACCTTCCCAGAGTAAGTATGTCTTTTTATTAATTGCTTGATCTTTTCTGATGAGGGCATCATTTTTGCCCCTTTAGATTATTAACTTGCTTTACTATCCTTTTAATCTGCAAGCTGGACCCAGTTTCTAATAATCTACCAGGAAGAACTGTATTTCCTCCCAGCTTGGTATGATAACTTCAGAATTTTGTATCTCTCAGAAGGCTGCACAGACTCTCAAAGAAAGTCAAGGTAGCAAGCTTCTTCTGTGACTTTCCTTCGGGAGATAGGTTTCCTAGTTAGTTTTGGTTAGATTACTAACCTACCCACGATTGTTTATTTCCTCAGGAGATAACTCTACTAGTTCCCTTATCTCTGTGCAAAGCTTTTTCTTATAAGTTACTACTTTTACATAAATCTGTACCTGCAAACCTAAATATCTTGTCTCTGCAGGTACTGCCCATCCTCCCTTTTGTGGAAGATCCCCAAACATTGAAAATGAGGCCTCAGAACATCATCTGTGTTTAGACTTTGTTCTCTTTAGATACCAACTGGGAAAATTTGCCTCCCAACGCCTCCTTCTGAAAGCCTGTTTTTGCTAGAGTGTTTGGGAGTCTCTGATTTTGTAGTAGATCATATGCCTTTCCTATTTTTTTAACAACTTGGGTTTGCTCAGCTGAATTGCGATCCCCAAAACACTTTTTTAGAACACTTTAAAGAGTGAAAATGAAATAGGATAGATAGCTCTATTAAATAGCTTGTAATAAGCTTGGTTTGTACCAATCTCTGATCTTTTCTTGCCAGGCCAGGGAGTTCATGGAAATAAACTAGAGCCTAGAGATAGAGACTCACCTGAGACTCAGCCAGTCCATGGGCTTCGCCCCCCCACCCCCCGGCCAATCGCTGTGCAGATTTGCTGCAGAGGGCATGAGGGCTGTTGGGGAAAATGCGGAGAGCCTGGAGACAGGACAGATTTTACCACTTACACACTTTGGGATCCTCAGCAAATAATCCATTCTTTCTAAGCCTCAGTTTCTCTCTCCTTCCTCTTTAGTTTATAGGTGAGTGATGCAGATTCATGATGATTTGCAAGCACTATAATTCTTAGTAAAAATAAAATATGTGAGTCTAGGTTATTTTTCTAAAAGGTGTTTTCTCTACTGATCACATTGCGACGGCTCCTATGTCATTCTCTTATGAAATGTTGTGCACGGTGTGACTACATGGTAACGTGACAAATCTTTACTGAACATTGATGAAGTCCTACATTCAGTGAGTGCTCTTGGCTCCAAAAATCACTGTGTGAAACTCTAAGCTTGTCCCAGTGATTATACCATCACTCAAAACATCTTTGGGACTCCCTTTTTAGAATAACCATCAGAACAATTGTCAAGTCTTATTATCTATGGTCATGATAGTAAATAGTCATATGGTAATGGTAAACAGGTCATCTAGTCAGGCCTGGTGAAAAAGATAGACAATGGGACTTCTGGGTGGCTCAGTCGGTTAAGCGACTAACTCTTGATTTCGGCTCAGGTCATGATCTTAGGGTCCTGGGATCGAGCCCTGTGTCGGGCTCCATGCTCAGCAGGGAGTCTGCTTGAGATTCTTTCCCTCTGCCCTCTACGCCCGTCCTGTTCACGCTCTCTCTCTCTCTCAAATTAAAAAAAAAAAGAAAGAAAAAGTATGTTGAGTAAATTACATTTCTGATCAACACACACATGCACACTGTGGTCGTAAAATCCTGAAGCTCATTTTCTTGGGTGCCTATCCTGGCTCAGCAGGCAGTTCCAAATAGAGGCTCTCCAGAATGCCTCAGCTATGGTGGCATTATCGAAGTATGTTGCCATGTGCCTCCCAAGGCAATTCCTTTTACAGGAAGAGGGCACATTTATTTTTATTTTAATATGCTGGGCTTCTTTGCTTTTACCAAATCTTGATAATCTTTGTGGCCTCTGAGTCCTAAGCCGTAATAATTTTCAAATAATTGGCATAAAGGGGTATGATTTGTATGAGCTTGAACATAAAGTATATTCATTTTGCTTATATACACAATGAATAGATTTGTTTTGTTTGGATGACAAATGTCCATTCATCCTGAAACCATCGTATGACATCAAAATGAATAACCAGGGGACACCTGGGTGTCTCAGTGGGTTAAGTATCTGCCTTTGGCTCAGGTGATCCCAGGGTCCTGGGATCGAGTCCCGCATCGGGCTTCTTGCTCAACAGGGAGCCTGCTTCTCCCTTTGCCCCTCCCCCTGCTCGGGCTATCCCTCTCTCTGACAAATAAATAAATAAAATTAAAAAAAATGAATAACTAGTGAATTCAACTGCAACTATTTTTAAGGACAACCATTTTTAAGAGCAGAGCTCATTTGAATTTACAAGTTCAGGCATGTTGTTTGATGCCTGGTTTAATTTTGTGGCTTGTACATTTCCAGGATGGTGAACAGAACAAACACTAACCATTGCTACTACCATGTGGTATTATTAGATACAGGGAATTTTAATTCTATCCTCTGTACCTATTTTATTTTAAAGAGATTGTCATTGTTTTGATAGTTCTCCTTTGTTCTTTATGTTGCAGCAACTTTTTACAGATGTGTCAAGTGGAGAAATTTCCAGGGAGTTAGCTGATGAAAAAGCAGCGATGGACGCCCTCGTCATAGAGCTGCAAGGCCTAAGCAACCAGTTTCGAAACCAGTACTGACCATCCTGGGAAGAGTTTTTGGAAAAGGAGCGCTCACCTTCTGAATTTCTCTTATACCTGTGTATCTGAAACACAAGATAATTGATTTTTTTAAATAAATTTCTCTTTAATGGCTAGCATTTTTGTTTTGTGGTTTTTCCACGTTTGGACTTTCCGAAGTACGTTAATTAAAAGTTCCCTGTTTCTTTAGGCTTAGTTGCAGTTGAATTTAGTATATTCTTTTGTATTCTGTGCTGAAGTATTTCAGCACTAAGAGAAAAAAATTACAGTTTTCTTTTTAGCATAGGGTTTATTCTCTCTCAGCCTAAAATGAATTAGAGCATCCTTTGGAAAGACTTAGTCTGTAACAGGGAAAAAAATCCACACACTACAAGTCTGTGGAATCATTGGATCGGCTGCATTATTATCCAAAAATGATAAAAGGTAGATAGAATGACAGAAATCTTTTTCCTTCTTGAGATTTTATATTTGTGTCAGAAAGATACAGGCTTGGCTAAATTAGAAATATGGGCATACTTTAGCTTCTAAATCAAGAAAATGCAAGAAAAAAAGTGACATAACCCAAATTTTGATTGAGCCATGAACCACTACTAACCAGGCTGACCCTCCTCATTTTGTAGACTGCCAGTCCTAAAGATGGTTGTTTAATAAGGTTATTGAGTGAAGACAGCCATAAATGCTGCCATATTACAAAAATGCCAAAGTAAAATGCTTTTTTAGTAATGTCTGTGGAAACAAATATTGAAGGCAGCAGCTGAGCTTAATAATCTTACTACAAAAGTCATAGTGAGGAATTCTCAGTCCTGGCTTGGGTTGCTGAATTTTGGGTCCCATGCATAAGTCATTTGACCCTTGCTTTTTATCTATGTTCTTATTTATAGAATGTGAATAATTTCTACCTCTGGCTTCTTTGTGAGTTTCAGCTGCCATTGGAAATTTTAAAATGCATACTCCACAAATAAAAGTATTCTGAACATTAAAAAAACAGTCTTTAAAAACTTTCATGGATGAATTTTAGTTATAAATGCTTACCAGTGCTTTTCCTTTCCTTAACCACCTGCTTTTCTTTTTTAGTACACAAGTCTAAAAAAAAAAGCAGTTTCTTTTATAGGAGACATAGTAGCTATGAGAAAGACCAGTAAAGTGAGCTCATAGCCTGAGTTAACATTAAATGTCCATTCAAATCTTTTTTGGAAGCTGTTGGAGAGTAGGTAGGTAAATGGTTGGATGGATGGATGGATGGATGGATGGATGGCTGGCTGGATGGATGGATTGAGGTTTTAAGATGAACTCTTTATCAGTCCCCAGCTGTGATCCCCAATAGAAAATGGAACAAATACTTGGAAGGGCAAAGGTTTCAGGAATCAAATGGAAAATTGAAGAAGAGTTTCCAAGTATTAGAAGTTTTTAGTTCTCAGTTTGTTTTCCTTTGGCTTCAAGGTAGAAAGACATGAGTGAGTCTGAGTTGTCACAAACCAAGTCACAAAAGGATCATCTTCCAGGCCTGTTCTCAAATGCTATGTTGAATCAGAGTTTCCAGGACAATGCCCTACACCCTCTTTTTTCTTGGAATGATCTCACAGAAGAGAGAGCTGTTAAATGGCTTCTTTTAAAGACAGATCTGTTAATTATGTTTAATAATCTCATGTGAATGTTTAACATAATTGAAGAAAATGTATGGGGAGGTACTATGGTAAAATAGGAAAAGTTGGGGTTTTATCAAAACCTCATCTCTATCACCTCCTCACACTTAATACTTAACACTCAGGTACTTAATTTCTTCATCTGTAAAGTGAATGTGGTGATAATAGTGCCTTCCATCAAGCTTTTAACATCTCTTAGAGCACTTTCACCCAGCTGCGGAATCAGTAATACAGTACCTTTAAAATGCTCTTTTCACTTACTGTAGGGTCTTTGATGCTTCATATTGCTAGATTATGATTTAAATATTTGCTATTTCCTTTTTTTTTTTTTTAAAGATTTTATTTATTTGACAGAGACAGCGAGAGAGGGAACACAAGCAGGGGGAGTGGGAGAGGAGCAGGGAGCCCAATGTGGGGCTCGATCCCAGGACCCCGGGATCATGACCTGAGCTGAAGGCAGACGCTTAACGACTGAGCCACCCAGGCGCCCCAATATTTGCTATTTCCAAACATCTTTTATAAATTTCAACTTTGGTTTTCGAATATCACTACTTTTGTTTTCGGCATTACTTCTGTGCATCGTCAGGTAGAAGAATATAAACGATGTGATTCTTTAATATGAATAATCATGCCAATAGCTACAAGTTACAGAGCTCTCACTCCATGCACTACGTAGGTCTGTGATATCACTGGGAAACAAGCTCACAGACTCTAGAAAGAGAAGTAGCCAGAACTCTCTCTACTTGCTCTGTTGGGGCTAGAAAAAGCTTCCAGTGGTCGGCTCGTTTCTGTCTTCTCTTTATCACAATGGGATGCCTGGAATGTTTGCCTGCCATTGTTTATAAAGTTCTTCAAGGAGAGAAATTCTGTGAAATCGCAGTTCTTAATAGCCTGTGGTCTATTATAGTCCTTTTTTAAAAGAAAATTTAGTAAAGCTTTTGTTAGCCTGTTTCCAAAGAGGCCACATAGTAAATGGGGGTCCTAACTACAGAGGAATTAAGCCCCAATGGAATAAGAAATACCTTCTTTATACCCAAACCTCAAAGTCAGGAAGCTTAGCGAGTCGATGCTGAGTCTGGGAAGCAGAGCCATGGGGCGTGTGTCAAGCGCTGGCGGGGCTCAGAACTACAGAAGCCTGGGTTGGACTTTGAGGTTCCTTTTCAGGGTGAGTGCTTGGCCTTTCCTCAGATGGAGCCTCAGTATGGTAAGGAGGACCCCAAACATTGAAAGCATTGAGTTATTTGTATATCAAGGCTCTTCTTCATGCTGTACTTGTTTCTGTTGGAATTGCTATCAGTGTGCTTTTCGTAAGCAGAAATTTAAGGAAGAAATGATACTGAATAGGTGTAGTAACTCAATTCACCTATGTTCCAGATGCCACTCAGACTGTGACATAAGCAAAGTAGGGCTAGTTTGGGTTCTTTGTGACCATTTGTCCAAACTGTGGTGAATCTACTAAGTTAAAACCCTGGGTGAGTCTCATGAAAAGTACTTTTTTCCACTTCTGTTTTTATAACATCCACATCAATCTAAATCACTGTTTAGATAAGGTAACTCTACTTTACAGGCCAAGAGTGAGGAATAAAACCTGTTAAGTAGATGCAACACACTTCCTTTCTGCCTGTTCTTTCGACAGGCCCTATAGTGAAATGGCAAAGAGCCTTTATTCAAATGGTGGGCGCCATGCTGTGGTGATACAGATGGATTTTTCACAACGTGCAGAAGTGCTTATAAATAGATAGATTTCAATCAACAAGTAGCTTATTCAGGCATGTGCTCAAATATAGTAGCTGCATTCATTAGACAGACATTTCCACTAATCCCAAGACTATACTAATAAAAGAGTAATCCCTATGGGCTCAAGGTAGTGCTGGCTTGCTTTTAACTCTTATAGAGTCTTTCACAGACCAAGGCCTAATAATAATTGTAGCTGCATTCGGTTTTCACCAAATGAATTATAAAGCCAAGCTTATCTTGAAATTTTTTCTTTTATTTTTTTAAATTGCAGTAGCTTAAGTGGACAAAGAGGTACTTTTTACCCTGGATATATATGCAGCTTGCAGCAAAGCCAATTTAAAAGCAATTGAGTGTACATTTGTGTGAGTGTATGCGTGCGCCCATTGTGTGTTCTCATTACTTTATCATAAGCACTTTCTCTTTCATCTTGGTTAATAAAGTGATTAATAAAGAGTTCGCTTGAGCAGATTTTTTTTTTTCCCTTTGGCTTTGGGATAAATAACAAGTTAATGTCAGGTTTGAGTTTTGCAGACTCTAGAGTGGTTGGACTTTTCATGTGGGCCTTTTCCTGGGGCTGGGCTTTGTTCGACAGGGTCTTTACCCCTCGCACCTCATTCAGAGCTAGCTCTAATTAGTTCACTTAGCACAACGCTAACATTTTTCCCTTGCCAGTGATGTCAGACCTGTCTTCCTTTTTATTATTCTGACTTCTTATAAACCTCAGTGACCTGTGAGTCAACCACACCATCTCTCGGCCCCATGCCAGCATTGTGATCTGTGGAAAGAGACTCCTGCCAAGGACTTTGAGGCGGAAAACTGATAGTATTAAAGAGGTCTTCTGAACAGTAAGGATCAGCCATATTTGAATCTTTGGCGGTGTTATTGCCAGAAAGGGGTGGGAGGAAGTAAATCATGATAATGTTGTTAAGGAGCTAACCCATGCATTGCTAACTTTTTCCAGACTGAGGGCTCACATGGACGTCAGTATCTATGGACATGCTCACAGACAGAGGAGTCCTGCTCGAAGCCTGTGGGGCTTGAGGAAGCCTTAACCACTCTGTGGCCTGTCAGCATCCACAGACAGAGATGTTATAACAAGATCAATCCGAAGACACATGTAGAAGTGCTTTTTTTTCTTTTCCTTTTTTTTTTTTTTTAAGATTTACTTACTTATTTGAGAGAGAGAGAGAGAGAGAATGAGTGGGGAGAGGGACAGGCACCCACTGAGCAGGTGCCGGAAGTGGGTCTCGATCCCAGGACCCTGGGATCATGACCTGAGCTGAAGGCAGATGCTTAATTGACTGAGCCACCCCAGCGCCCTGTAGAAGTGCTCTGAAAATGAAAAGGTTTAATAGAAACACATGTCCGAGTGTCTTAGAAACCACCCATAGTAAGCACTGACACCATCTTTTCTGACCCTGTCGGGAGCTTGATGACATTCAGTGCTGCTGGGGCATGACACCGACGTGTCATGTTCTCAGTGTCTTCATTTGGTAGCAACCTCCCCGTGTTTCTGGGCTGCCCGTGTGCATGGGGCAAGGGAAGAAGCCGAGAATGTGATGGGGTTTTACGAGGTGGTCGATTTTTATATCCTCAGGAGTTCTCCAGTTGGACCCGTGCTGGGAAAAGGAAAGCGAAATGATGACAGGCAGGAGTAGGCAGCGGAAGGGTGACCCGAGGAATCGACTGACGAGGTGAGTCAGGGTGAGCAGCCCCGGGTGGAACTTCCAGCCTCC